CACTTCCAGTGCCTGTTAGACTGATAGCCACTGGAGGCATCATGTGACACGAAAGCCTCCATAGGAAAACACTGAGTCAATACTTTCCTATGTAGAAGCTTAAATGTGGTGCTTCATACACATGAACTTTAGGTCACTAAAGTTGCCCAGCCCCCTCTTAGGCTAAGAGCCCTCTCCTACCAAGCATCTTTTAGGTTATCACCATGTCCTCATTTTAAGGCCATAGACCATCCCCTGGAGCAATCTACTGCCAAGGCTGTAACATAGATACCCTCCAGCACCGCCGTCCCTGTGAGCCACCACCCCTGAAAGAGAAAGAAGAAACTGACAGAATATGGAAGTATCACCCCAGCACACCAACAAATCCACCGGACTAGGGATAGATGGATAACACAAAGGAGGTGGGGAATAGAGAAATCAAAATGACTGAATTGTAACGGTTACACCAGCCTATACATACCCCTGCTTCATAACGCCCCTTCCGTTCAATTCATTCACCAATAACTGTCAATGTGCTCCTTTCCTTACTTATTTCCGTGGGATTGCAATACTCAAGCACTCCATTTTATACCGATCTTGCAAAGTTTGGCCGCAGAATTATGTGAGGGACAGGATTGAGTGAGATATCACAGCCATTTTCTGTTTAAAGATTTAGAGGTTAAGTATTTTCTGCAATTTAAAGGCATTCCTAAATCTTTTTAACCAAATGGATAAGACCTTTGTGGTTTCACTTGGTACAAACAAAGCCTCTGAGAAACTTGCTCTGCAGGTCACTTCTGTACAAAAAGAAAAATGTACTTTAAGTGATGTCAATGCAAATTTATATCTCTTTATTCTTCTGGCTTGGCTGAAAGTCCCTTCTCACTTCCGTTGGACTGTAAAATGCTTATTTGAACTTTGCTACTATTTGTGATTTCCTTTCTACAACAAAGATACAATAAAAAAATATGCATGTTTGTCATGAAGCCAAGATTTGCTTAGTTTTAGTTTTCAGAACATTTATTGACACGATAAAATACCCTGCAATATTACACAATCCCACACAATGACACTTGCTTCTCCCAGAACCTTCCTTAAATTGCATATTTTATATAACAATGGTTTGGCCAAAACTTTAACAGAGAAAAATTTAGTAAAGGACATTTTCTGCCTTAAAAAAAATCCCTTTCATCAAAATTGTAGCAACAGATATTGGGAAGTGTATAGTTCTGTGATGCCATATTTCAGATCATCGGAGTAGATCAGTTAAGGATACAACTGGTCAGTTTGTAGGGAGGAGGCAAACAGTCATCCCCTGATATGTAGTATTCGTTATTATAATAAATAATAGTACTTGTTATTATTGATTCCAACATGGAACAGGCCCTAACTATAGGTGTCCACTTGCCCTTTCTTACATCCTGTAAATTTTCGTCTTGCACTCTCCCACTTTGCATTGTATCTCTCTATATCTTTCATTTTCCATGAGTGAAAATTAATAGCTGCTTCTCTTGTAGTGTTTACTTATTTATTTGATCAAGAAAATACATACCAGTTAAAGATAAGATTCATAAATGCTTTGAAGTAGGAT